ATTACCGAGCCCCCCCCGCCCCCGGGCAAACGCCGCCGCTACCTTCCGCCTCTCCGCCCGGCACCGGCGCCTACGCGCTCCCGTGACGCCAGCACGCTGCAGGTAGCCCGGCCAATCCGGAGGCGATGCCGGAAGCGGAGGCGGGAGAGGGGGAGGTCGCGCATGCGTACGGCACAGCGGCCGCCGGCGGGTGCGGTAACTCCGTCGTCAGGGAAGCGGTCGGCGGTAGCGGCCGAGGTGAAGGGCGGGTGGGACCGGAGCTCCTGGGAGCGGCGGGGCCTGCCGGGCGGGAGTCGCCCCGCCCGTTCCAACGTCCCTGGCCGTCCCAGCGGCGCGTTGGGGCTCGTCTCCCTCCGCCCAGGCCGCCTTTCGTAAGGCCGCGGCTCGCCTCCGCCGGCAGAAGGGCCGGTAGTCGGCCGCAGCCGCTGGAGGAGCTCGGCGGGGCTGGCGGGGCGCAGAGGTGCCTGGACTGCACGCAGGGGTGAGGGGAGGCGACTTCAGTTTTTACAGCTCAGTGCCACAGCTGAGCGGGCCCTGCTGCCCCGGCCCGGCCCTGTGCGCCTCTCTCCAAGCCCCCGGCCTCTGGGCCTAATAGCGCTGCTGGTCCGGGGGAGGTGAGCTGTCTTGAAGGGTCAATGAGTTCAACCAAGGCGTTGTTTCTTTTTCTTTCAGATTTCCTCTGTTTACGTGTGTAACCCAAAGCAAGAGTTGTTCTTGTCACCTCTTCCTGTCAGTGTTTGTGCGAGAGCTGAGAAGATGGTGAATGTTCTGAAAGGTGTTCTGATTGAATGGTTAGTAACAGCACTTATTGCTTCTCGTTGTGTCAAAGTACTTATTTCTTTAGAGCTGGTAATATTCTAAGTAACTTAAGAGTCTAGACAAAAAAAAATAATTGTGAGGAGGGATGATGCTGAACAAGCAGACAAGAGGAAAGTATGGCCTTTTGGGAAGAAGGAAAGAGGCAGTTGTAGGTAATCCTAATTTCAAACTAACTTTTCAAGATATTGTTTTCTACTTATGCTTAGCTATTAGATGTTCCCTCTTGTTCTTTATATTGCTTACAAATAATGGGGTTTGTTGTTGTTGTTTGTGAGCAATGTATATCTTTACTGATTCTAGAGGGAGGTGAGATAATCTTTCATCTTTTCTTTCCTGTCTTTTTTCATCAGTTCCAGTCCAAATTCTGTTCAAGGCTGACATGTGGCTCTGTTTGTAGATCATACTTGAAAGGAGTATGCTTGTAGTTTGTAAAAGTAAGCTTTTGATGTATGTGCAGTAAACATGTTTTCATACAGTCTGAAGTCTCTAGACTAAGAATCAGATAACTGGTTACCTCCAAAGTGAAAAGAAGCATCAGTCAAGATTTGTGGGGTCATTGCATAGCATTATACGACATATAAAATTTCTGTTGTACACTTAGATTGTAAACATATTAACAGATTATAACTACACAAAAGCAGAAGAACCTTCAACCTCTGTGATGTGCCTGCATATAGCCGTGATCTTGCAGCAGCTAACTTCTGAGCTGGCTGGATGCTATCCAGCTGAAGTCTGGATGTCTAATGGCTATGTGCGAGCAGTTCAGAGTCTAAACTCTGCTATAACAAAAAGCCTGTCTTCTCAGATTTGGCTCCCTGGTAGTACCTGAAGCACAAGAAATTGCATGCCTGCAGCTGACTGTGATGATGCCCAGAGTAGAATTGTTGACTGACAAGACAAGAAGTTCTAAAATCTCAAGCAGTTAGCAAAATATTTTACTTTGTACCTTATGTATTTATTTTACACATACCTAAAGATCCTTGTGTTTTTATTCAGCTCTGTGGCCACATCCCACTTAGTATTAGCATGGAACTTAATCATTCTCCCTGGAAGGGAAGGGAATTTTCTGTCTGATAACAAATCTACAGCATTTGTTATGCCATCAGATGTTTTCAACAGCTCCGTGGGAAACTGACCTTTGAGTTGGTTTTGCTAGCTCTTGGTGATTTGGTTTTGTTTGTTTTCTCCCCACCTTTGCGTAAGGGTAGCCTATGATTGGGCACAAAATTCCATCCTAGAAGAAGATGCAGAATTACTATAAACCTGTGCTCTTGTTTACGCTTCAGATACAAGTTTTTTACAACCCAGTTTCCTGAGGATGTTTAAGATACCAAATGGATAGGGAGTGGAAAAAAAATACACTTCTGAGTGTGTAAATCAGGCAAATAAAATAGTGAAATGTCATGCAGGTCTTTTTTTATCCATATTCTTCCAATAAATAGCTAAACTTTTCTGAAGACACCATATCAAGGATTATAATCTTCAGGTACTATAAAGAGATCAATGTTTCTGCTGTGGCATATATCTACTGGCACTGGTTACAGTTCTGTACATTGATTGTGTGAAAACCAGTCTGTGGGTGCTGCCTAACATCATAAAGGCTGGTCATACCAGCTAGGACAAAAGCTATGCCATCTAGTACTACTAATGTGAGTCACTAAAGTACAACTGAATGAAACAAGCAAAAAATGAACCTCCCTGCACCAATCCAAAGGGTGGAAGGATGCTGGGAACAACATATTTCTGGTATCTGATTTTTCTCAGTTCTTATGTTTCTCTTTTGTTTCTGTTCTTACATACCAGAGTGCATAAATAATGGCTCTTCTAAAGAAGATACAGCTTCCAGACATTCCCATTCTCCTTTCCTCAAAATCACTTTGTACTTTGAAAACTTATCTTACTCTAGTCATGCTTCTGCAGGTTTGAGGCTAATATTAAAGGTTGTTTTTTGAGTTGCTGGTTAAGGGGCAGGGGAAGGGTTTGGTCTCATAGTGCATGTCTTTGCACCATGTATATGTTTAGGTAAGGGAAAATTAGTCCTCATACTGCATTTAAAAGAGAGAAGATTAACCAAGGGGTTCTTTTAAGACTTACTATGTTATTAAGAATTCTTTTTAAGACTTACTATGTTGCAAAAACAATTGTGTTCATAATTTTGAAAGTGTCCTGAGCTACCTGATTCCAATTTCCTGTATTTCTTGCACATATTCTTCACCAGTTGTTGCAATCAAATACTAAGTTTTATCAAAAAGCATGTTTTTCCTGCTTTATAAAAACTAGTATCAGAATAATACTGTCTGAATTCTTCAAAATTTCAGTGGATCAAAGAGCTTATATTTTTAAGCCACTTTATCTAGCTGCTTAGTATAATGCAAGTGTTTCAGTTACCTGTAATTTCCATACTTCCAAAATGTTTTCTTTTAAACACTTAAATTTAACTTAGAAGGTGACATCATGAAAAGGAAGAGACTGTTCAGTTACGGTGTGATACATGTACAATTCATACATGACCGCTTTTTCTCTGTGCTATAATACTTTGAGCGAAATCTATGTTCTGGGTTTTGGTTACCCTCAAACAAAAACGTACTTTACCTGTTTCTATGGTGCTATTGCTGAAGATAGAAATCTAAGTTCAAACTTGCCTTATTTTTTGTTTAAGCTACTTTAACAGCAGCATAGGGGCACTTCTCTGCTAATCAAGCAGCTAGTTCTTCTCATTAGACTTCATTATCAGTTTATTTTTATCTCTAAAGTAATCCAAGCAATTACTATTGCGAAAGAAACAACTTTTTCAAAAGCTTCTGTTGTGGTTTAACCCCAGCTGGGAACTAAGCACCACACAGCTGCTTGCACAGATGGTCCTGAAGTTACAGCTCCAATTTCCTAAAACCAGCACAGCTACATAAACTTTGTTTAAATTGTGAGCAGCTCTTGAAATTAATATTAATTTCCCAAAGAACTTTAAGAGTGTCTTCAAACAGTGGGTTTTTTTATTTGTTCTTAACTGTATCTCATTACAATGAGGTGGGATCTGATGTGTGTTTGTCTTTACAGTGACCCAGCAATGAAGCAGTTTCTGCTCTACTTGGATGAGTCAAATGCATTGGGAAAGAAGTTCATCATACAAGACCTGGATGAAACTCATGTCTTTGTATTAGCCGAGTTGGTTAACTTCCTCCAGGAGAGAGTGGGCGAGTTAATGGACCAGAACTCTTTTCCTATTACTCAGAAGTAAAAAGACTAGAGAAATGAGATTACTGTGAGTTTTGGAATAGTGTATTTCAATAGCTTGGGTTGTTACTGTTTTAATAGATACACTGTGGTTAGTAAGTTCTACATGGAAGTGGCTACTCTAGAAAATGGATCATTTTCATAGGCAAAATACTCTTGAATTGGATTTTATTTCTCATTTTGAAAGATTATGGTATCTTTATTAAAATCCTTAAAATGATACACTTGAGGACTTGCCTAGAGAATTTTTGGTGCATGCTCTCTGTTTTTCCTTTAGAATTTTTATCTTGTAAGGTGTTATGACTCAAAAATTAGAGTAGTGTTGCTGTTTTGGAATGCTATATGAACTCCTCTGACATGTTACATTCCTGTGGAATTGATTAAATCTGGTTATAGTGTGACTGAGAGAATATAAAGAGTGTCTGTTAAAGTATGATCTGTGCTTGATGGAACATTTCCATAAGTTGACGGCATGGTCAGATACTGTTTTAACTTAATGGCTTTTGTACACCAAAATGAAAGTTGGTGTGAGGGTTTGAGGGGGGGGGGTGTTAGTTGTTCTTGTGTTTTTTTGGTTTGGGGTTCTGGGGTTGTTTTTTTTTTCAAACATTTTACAAATGCTCCATACTACTTGCCTACTTTCACCAAGGCTATCCTTTGTTTTGTGTTGTTCCGGGTTTGGGGAGTGGTGGTGGGAATCTAGGTGTTTGGAGGGGAAGTGGGGATGTGAGGGGATGGGGACGACAAAATCCATTATCTCAGATCATTCCATTTTAACTGTAAATTGATTACTTGCATATCAACAATACCAAATTGAAGGGGTAACAAATGGGAGACCAGTCATTTAGATACAATTGTTTGTATTTTTCCACTGAAGCTAATACCTAGTCACAATAACACATGTGATCAGGAGGGGGAAATAAAGACTTAGTTGCTCTACCTGTGGATAAGAAAGCTGGTTTTGGTTTTTTTTGGGGTGTTCAGTTTTTGTTGGTTGTTTTTTGGTTTGTTTTTTTTCTTTCTTCAGCTTAGCCCTCCTCCCCTACTGCACTTTGCTGCAAAGAAAATGCCTCATAATTTCATAGTTTGGGGGGCGGGGTTATACTGTATTTGTAACTCACTATCTCAGACACTGGCTTATTTAGTAAGTCAGTTAGTGCATGATGATAAAACCTGTGAAGATTTCTGTCTACAAATATGGCAGATACAGATTACAGAAACAAAAAGAATAACATGTATTACCTTTTCTCTTATCCTACTTCCTACTCAAAATAGTCAAATTTATTGGATCTATAAGTAATCATTTATAAATGAAAGACTTCTAGGATATTACTTCAAAAGGAAGCTTGGTTTTCAGAGCTGCTCATGTACATCAGATAGATGCCATCTTTTTATCTTCGCGGAAAAAATGAGTGTAAATAGAAAGGCTTATATAAGGAACAGTTTTCTTTACTGACTCTCCCACCATTGCTTTTTTTTTCTTGTCCAGTAGATACTGATATCAGATTTGTTGGTGGTTTTGGGTTTTTTGGCTTTTGTTTGTTTGTTTTTGTTGTTTTGTTTTGGGTTTTTTTTTCCCCAGGAATAGGGAAGCTTCAGGAGCAAGTTTCATTAGATGTTTTTAATCACAAAGCTGTCCAAAGAAATTTCTGCAGAATTGCATATATTCAGGCTCATGTGGATGAACAAATAGCCCTGTGGAATTTAGCTTCATAGAACAACAGAAGAATAGAACAATGGGGTTTGGTCCAAGTTGTTTCATCTCTTTCTTTTACAAATGGATGCTTTCCCAGTCACACAGATCAAGAACCAGCTACACATCTTCACTTGAAATAAAAAGTTGAAATCTTGTATGAATGGTTTATGGTTCCTTAACTCTTTCTTGAGATTGGTCAAATGTTGACCTCATAACTGTTATTTTGTGGAACATAATTGGATACTCATTTAATGGAGAGATAATCAGTAGTCTTAACATGGCATGCTGGCTTAATGTAATTTATTAAAAGTGTCTTAGATCCTTTGGAAACTTGGTTTATTTTCCATCCAGATTTTGACGAAACGTAGATGATCCCTCTCTCTTCGAATGACGGTATTTGAAAAGTCATGTTAGAATTACACCTGTTAAACTTACCTGTATTTAGCATGTCTAGTGCTACATTTCTATTGTGATTTTCCTTTTAAGTCTATGATAAACTTCTTGCAGTTCTTGGCTTTTTCTACTGGTAATTGTACAGCTTTATTGTTGCATTACCTGTGTTTTAGCTTACATTTTCAGTGATAAATGGCTTATGTAATACAGAGGGATAAAAGTTCCAAACTGTATAAACTAAACAGTTAGGCATGCTCTCAATCTTTTTCGAGCAATCATGTTTATGGGTTTTAACTTCTAAACCTGTCAAGACTTAGATCCTTCCTGCAACCTAACCAGGCCTAACTGATTCTGTGCTGGAAGAGTAAACAAAAGATGCGAAGAAGCAAATTGGTATCTCCAAATGGGGTCTGAGGAGCTGAGTTCTCTGTAATTTCTAGGGAAAAAAGGGTCTTGAATCATGTAGTGTGGTGAAGGAAATCCAATGAGGAAGCTTGTAGAACTTCAGTACATGTATGTATTAAAAAAAAACAACCAAACACACAAGGGTTTCTGGAGTTGAATAAAGTGGGACCCCAGGAAGCTTTTTTTTTTCTTAAATGCATATAATCCTAAAACTTACATGCTTTTAAGAATACATATATATATTGGCCAGATGGGAGAAAAGTAGATACTAGCTTTAAAAATATCAAGACATTTTGAGATAGTTAACATTTACACTGATAGATTTTAAATGTTTTCACTGGCTTTCATTTAGGTGTGAAATATTATTGGTGAGTGGAGCTTGGAATTAAACATTGTGTTAAGAATATCTTATTATTTTTAAAGGCTGGAAGCATTTGAGAATAAAAGGTAAAGGAGATCCATTTAAATATATACATGTTTTGCTAATAGAGTTGATATGGTGAGAACATCAGCTCTGATTGTATTTGGAACGTTGTATGTTAATTTAGCATTCCTATCCATAGCTAGTAAGTTCACTTTTTTTTTTGCTAGTGTCTAGCATAGGGACTATACTCTGCTTGGGTCCTACTTGAGCAGCAAAAATAGAGCTTGAATGGCAGACTTATTATTGCTTCTTGTTGAAGCAGCAAATTTTATCTTGATGGGCTTTCACTGCTAAGGGTTGAGCTGGTGCTTCACTTTGCTTTCAGTCTGAGTTGAAAGTATCTTGTCTACTGGAGGAAGAACATAGTAGAATAAGTACCTAAAGGACACTTATTTGAACTTTGTTTCTTATTTGCTACTTATTTATACTTAGCTCTAAAAAACCTTGCAAGTTCACTTGTTTGTGTTTTGTGATGCAAACAATTACTCTTGGGTAGTTACTGTAACTTTGAACAGGCTTATAAATACCACTTTCATTAACACAGATGCAGAAGCTAAAGAGTAATATTTGACAGAAAGGTGACAGATCTCCCTAAAGCAAGGTAAGAGAATTTGAACAATGCAAACAAAATATTTATATTAAATGGGAAGAGGGGGTAGAAACTGAAAATGGAGCTTCCCATTAAAATAACGCAATAGCACCTCATTTTTATTGAAAATTACACTATTTGGTGTTTTGTTTTTTGTTCAAGACTCAGATTATTTTTTTAAGTTTGTTTATTAATGGTCTTAAAAGAAAGCTGTGTAGTATGACCATAGTGTACCACAAAAGAAAATAAGCCTAAATGCTGTCACATATTTACATACTTTTAGAAATTGTGGGATAAGCTAATTCTGGAGGATGGTTTTTTTTTAACGTGGGGGTTGGCAGCACGATGAAGATGGCCCTGAGTTAGTATAGATAGAGATTATAATGAATTTCTTAGCTTGTTACCAGTGCATAAGTCCCCTTTCCTTCTCTCCAGTACAACAGATAGCCCAGGGAGAATAATTGTCCAGTGCAGTAAAGGAGGAAATAACCAACAATCAGTAGAGAGAATGGATGTGGCCTCAAGAAAGAAAACTGTTGAAAGAAAATAGAGAATGCTTCAGGGAATTGCACCATTTTATCTGAGAGAAGCCAGATTGAGTGGATTTGACTTTGTAGCTAAACTGACAGTGTCGTTTCATAAAAAGGTAGGCATCTGAATCCATTTGGAATGAAGAATGATAAGAGTGGTTTTGTTTATTTGTTTAGAAATTTAATGTGCTTATAATGATAGTTTGGTTTTTGTTCTATGTAGCACAGTGCTGAGACCTAGATGGCTGGTGTGATGTGCTATACAAAAAATTCTCCAAGTGCTGTTTTACAGTCTTTCCAGGATTGTAGGGTGTATTCAAAAGCGTATCTTCTGATTCTTTTTTTAATGTGGCATAGCAACAGATTTTACTGTTTTTTCTCACTCAAGTTAGCTCTGCAGGGCCACCTGAAGTATGTGAGAACAAACTAGAGAACATGTATTTTATGCATTAATAGGATTGTTTACAGTGAGCTGAAGATAATGGTATTTCATGGTGTCATTAAAATGACTTATTTTAACCTTTCTTAGTTGGCATCATCACCATGAAGTGTCCAATTTCAGTCAGCCTCTAGGCTGAACTTGCAAAAGTAGCGCTCTAAAAACTGTGTCTCTATATATGCGTGTGTGTATATATATTAAAAAAAGCAACAAGTCTTTAATCATATAAACCAACACAGGCTGAGAGGTATATTTTGTACTCCCAACCAGGCAATAGGCCATTGAAGAAAACAGCAAGCTTTTGTAATAATCTTTTTGCAGTTCCCAATTCCACAGCAGATTCTGATCCTTTTCCCATACTGACTCGCTAATTATCCCACAAATGATCCCATTAAAGCTGGTGGTGGTTACTGTGAAATGAGGCATTACTCTATGTCAGATTTGGGTGTCCATGTTTGTTTTGTAATTCAGACTTTGGCAAGGCTTACATGTGCTGTACAAAATTAAGGATTCAATAAATTGGTGAAGTTCATAATGACGCAGAAAAACATTTTTCCTAAACTAAGTCATTATCTTTAGTCTTATGACTTAACAACTAATAAGAAATTTAAAAAATAGGGTCCCTGGTAGAAATATGATATGGCTTTTTTTTTTTCTTAGTTTTTTTTTAAATGTTGAATAGAAATAATATTTTACCTATCTTTGTTTCATAGAAAAAGATTCTCAGGACTGAAGACTTAATAATTTG